TCCTTCCTGTCTGGAGGTGAATGGCTGTTCTGTTACTTGCATGGAACTGCTGCTAGTGAATAGCTATGGTGAAACTTCAGTTCTCAGCCACCATGTTAAAGTCTTGGCAGCAAGTATATCTGAAAAAACTCTTGTCAGAAAAGTAGTGAAAAACTTTATCTAAGGACTTATTTGAAAGCTTAAAACATTCTAGCATTAGAAAGGAACTGACTTTAAAGTGACTCAATTTAGTAGGCCTTTCTTTAAGGAGTGAAACATTGTAGCATGGCGTAGCATCTGAGGTGACTAAGCTGATCTGATGTTTAGAGAAATCCCACAACTGCTTAGAGCTGGAATACTTACCTGAAACAGCTGAGCAAGGCTGAAATCCTGCAGTTAGGGTCTTGCTTCACTCTGCTGTTGTGTGGCAGATTGGGGAAAATGAGGAACTCCTTTGGCCTGTGGTGGACTGATGCTTACTGACTGCACTGATACTGAGCATGTTTGTATTTGACTAAGTAGCAAACACTTATTTGATACACAAATACTCTTAAACATGTTTACCTTGTTTTTAATAACTGCTGTGACTAACATTCTGGAAGAAACAAGTTTAACTCTAATTTTCTATATCTTCTTTATAATAAAGATGTCTTCTGAAATAATATTGTAACTAAAGGGGTCTCTTCATGCTGAATTCAGTTTCACATCTGCAATCCCAAATGCTGAAGCTAATTTAAAAAGTAGTAGTTCTGAAGTGTTAGACCCTCAAAGAATGAGGTGGGGAAGCCTAGCTGATCTGTTATAGAGACTTAGTACGCTCACAGTGACACCTGGAGGTCCAGGCTGGGACTAGTTATTTTCTATATGAATGCATGACCTGAAGAGGTATGTTTTATTGCTTCACTAGACAAAGCTTTAGGAAAAAATAGCTGTCACGTTTCTGACTGTAAACTAGTCTGTGAAATGCCATAGGAAGGTTAGGGCAGAACTAGACTTTGAACTCTTCTGAGATCCTGACTTGAAGATGGTCTTTTGATAGAGATGGATTAGAGATTATTTCCCTATTCTGTAAGCCATAGTGATTAATAGCGACAGTTACCAGAACATACTGATCCACTGCAGTGCTGGGGGAGCTCTTTAAGGCCTTGTCTTGTGTCCCACTTGGTGGTTGTAGAAGGAAAACTGGATTCCAGCCTGCTCTGCATTACAAAAAACTACTCACTGCAGATCTCTCATTGGAAGCATTTACTGCTGTGCTGTGTTGTGTTAGCTGCATTATCTTGCAGTTGTGCTAGCTTAAACTGATGATATCTGATGCTTCCTGGGAATTTAAACTTTAGGTATAAACTTCAGGTAGTGAGTTGCCTATAAAGTCAGGTGCTTTGATGTAAGCTGAAGCCTTCTGGATCACAGTGATCTGCCTCCTGCTGCTCCTACTCACCTGTCATCACTGCTTTGGTGAATTTTTGGAGTTTTCTTCCTGCAGTTTTCAAGCAAGCAGTGGCACAACTAGACTGAAGAGCACTGATCTTTTCCAAGAAACATCTTCATTTGTATTATAGTCTTTCCTGTTCTGAAAACAGAAACCTAGCCTGACTCCGCTGTTCTGTAGAGCACAATACAGATAAGGCAGCTTGCCTATCTGCTTCCCTAAATCTTCAGAAAGCATGGCTCAAAATAGGAGCAAACTGTGCTGTGGTGTACTTTGGATAGGGGAAAGACAAACTTTCCTGTTCCTTAAGCTCTGTGCTTTGGCTTTGATTTGGGAACAGGTTATAGGAGACTATTAGAAGGGACCCGGAAAATAATCATTCCTTCATCTCTGCAGTTATAACCTGCATAAGTGACTTTCCTCATCAGAAAGAACTGCGCTGAAATCTTCCAATGTAATTAGTGCATGCTGCTTGTGCTTAGGAAGAAGAAAATGTGCTGGTTACTGTTCTTAGATCCTTTCAGCAAGGTGATAAAAATATATTGTATATATCAAGTTACAAAGCACCTGAAGCTGTTTTGGGGGGCAAGCTGATGGGTAATGCTAAACCCCGAGATAGAGATTTGTGAGGAAACTCTGGCCTTGCTTAATGTTTTGCCTTCTGGGATGAGAAACATGACTAGAATGTAAATGCTGTGTACTGCTGGTCTAAAACAAAATCTTGGTCTTGTGAATAGCATCACCTGGCTGGCATTGTCCTGGTACTGTTGAGAGAGTTCAGTATGTCCTTGCTTATCCTGAGAATGGGTCACTGGATGTGTATTTCCCTGATCTCTGAAGCACTCGGGCATTGCCGAAACTGTCCCAAACAACTGGAGACCAAAACAAAGGACAAAGCAATTCTTAGATTAAAACTCTAAAACCATTTGAGAACCAAACCATTGGCATTGGATTTGGGTAGGAGAGGAGCAGTGCTTTGTGGTTTGCATATTTAGGAGTATGTATGAGTGCTGTGCACTGCTGAGGGAAGAACAGGACCCACAGTCTCTGCTGTGGTCTCCTGTGTCTAATGCAAGATCTGTGCTGTTGCTCTCAGACTGAGCCTTTTTGTCCCCTTACACACCTTTGATATGTAGGCTTTGTTTCAGTTTGTGTTGGAAACAAGTCAAAGTAGTGCTTTTGTTCAAGCAGATGCTTGTTGCTGATAATAAATTTTAACTGATTCAGACCTTGTCTACAAACATACAGCTATGGGCAGATAAGAGGTGCTTCCTGCTCGAGTATGCAAGGCATTGTACTTCCATGCATACTAGAAGACAGCTTCAAAATAGAGCATTAAATTAGCTCACTTGAGGTGGGGGGGAGTTGTGTATGACTTACGTATCTGCTTCGCAGAGCTCAATCTTCCTGAGCTCCTTCAAGTCTGTGTTGTCAAATAAAAAAAAAAAAAGGCACCACACACTTTCCAGTTTTTCCAGCTTACCCGTAGAGTCTTCTGCAGTAATGACTGTCTTCCCAGCTCTTTCTGAGCATATTAGATCACTTTATCCTGAATGCTCTGAAATAACAACGAAAGTCATGTACAAGAAGCAACAAAGCACAGTGCATATCACAGAAGGCAGCTGCTGTTTGCCTAGCTGATAATTTGGGTGATTTGAGCAGTTGCATATAACTAATTTAAAAATTGTCTACTGTGGTCCACAGCATGTTACTGGAAAACCAGAGTCACTGATCACCCTGCTTTCATTGGTGTTTTAAGTTCAAGCCTCCAGCTGAATTTTCAAAAACATAATGTGGGTTTTTTGTTGGTAAAATAGCCATCCTCAAACATTTGGCGGTGGTGGGAGCATTGTAAAGAACTTCTCTTGGTCATTCTGCCATTCTTCTTTAAAAAAAAAAGAAAAGTAAAACTAATCCTTAAGGTAATGGGAACATACAACAGTTGTAGTCCTGCTTATTTCCCTTGTGGCAATGTTCCCTAGCTGAAGTCTGAGGAGTGTTGTTAGTGCATACTTCTCAAGACTGAAATTATGAAACATTTATCTCTGTCACGCTGAGCAGTTGTTTAAAGTTTTCTTCTAAATGTCAGCTGAGTTTGCCCTGAATTAGTGATGTTCCCTCCTACAAAGGTGACCATGCAGGCTCCTGAAAGGCATGTTGCTGTATCTGTGTCTTCCAAAGGGAGGTCATCACAGGCAGCATGAACAGCAGTGCAATTTTTCACATCAGTGAAACAGGATGCTTCATTTTGTATTTTGCAGCACCTTTTCATATACAGAAACTAACCAATGCTGTTTAAACTAGTCTATGCTCCTGTTGCATGAAATCCAGTTGCACAGAAGAAAGAAGTGAGATGGGCAAAAGGTGAGGTGAACATGACCCGGAGTGTGACCTGCACACCGCTACCAGGTATGTATGTATGTTATAATACAGCAACATGCTGCATGTAGGTCTCCCAGCACAATATAATGTTCTGGAAGACTAAGTTTAGCAAAAGGTATAATGTCACCATCACGCAGAATCTACTTAATGAACAAAAAAGAAATGCTAACAGGCATATGTCTGTTGGTGCTGGTTTGGGGATTACGCACAGGAGAGAGTGCACAGATTTTCTAGGAGAATGAGATGAAGTTAAAAGGAAGCCCTCTGAGAAGACACCTTCCCTGACATACAGGCAATGATATCTTTTGGACAGCTGCAGATGATCCATTTCCAGTCTAGATTTATTTTTTAATTTAGGGAAATTGCTTTTAAAGCATAATATGCTTACTAATCAAAATTGAAGACTTCCAAAGCCAATTTAAATCTTGTTTTGGATATCTACGGTGGGATCCTAGTAAACATAATTCTGCATGAGAACAGTGATGTTAGCTCCGTAGTTTAATATAATCTCTGAATTTCATGAAATTGTTTAAAAAAAAAAAAAAGCTAGTTATTTAAAGCTTTATTCATTGTACAGATCAGCCCAACTTAGTTTGAAGCTGAAGTTACCTCAGCTGAAGAGCTGCTATACTTATTCATGGCTTAGCTTGACATTTATTACCTGTCCCTAAACAAGCAATTTATGATATTGAAAGGAAGGTTCTCTTCTGAGAAATCATGAGGAAGTGGAGAAACATTACACTTCCAGCTTGTGAATGTAATCCACTGACATTCTCATTTACATATCAGAGAAAGAAATCCAGAGCTTGAGTAAAATCAAGTGACTTTCTTAATCTTGAAGGAAAAAACTGCCCCATTCCACCTGTACCAAAATGTTCTGATACAAAAATCAAAACTCTGTGGACTGTTTTTTGCTTATTCTTACTGCTTTTCTGTATTAAACAGTTCCAGTAGTTCACTTAAAAAATGAGTAACTACCTGCGTGGAGCTGATTGATTGTTAACCATCCATTTTCTCTTGGAAAATGGAACTCTTTTTTTCCCTGCTATTTGGGAACATGAATAAAAGCACTAGAAATGGGCTTGCCTGCTTTAAAGCATAAATTCATGAGAGAAAAGCAAAATGGTGTCTTTCTTAGATGATACTAACACGGCTTATTTCAGATCCAGTATCTTGCTTTGTGAAAATAATCATGAAAACATCCATATTTATTGTATTTACTTTATTGATAAAATAAGTTTACTGTACAGTACACAATTCTAGCCATAAATTCTTTTCAAGCTATCAGCATTACAAAAATAACAGGTTTGCAATGAAAAATAGTCACTCCACACCATGTGAAGGCTCTTTAAAATCCTAAAGTGATCAGGTCAGGGGAATGGAAGAAGAGATGTATGAAAGGTGAAAACTAGGAGTAGATAAATTAAGTCACTTCTTAAATTACAAAAATAAACACTAATCAAGCATTATTTCACAATAGAGCAACCCTAAAGAACTGCCACAGACTAACAACCCTTCTCTTCTATATACTCTGGAGATTGTATTTGAAAGACAAGCCAGAAGGTCAGCCATGAAACTGCGTTCAGTGTAAAATGGATGTAAGTGCCCTTGATACAAGTCAATGGCTGAAAAGACATGTATAGAAAAAGAACTTAACTGAAACCGAATCTTCTTCCAAGTTTGCAACAACAAAACACACTCCATTGAAACAGATGTTGCTTCTACTAAGTCACCAGCTTGCAAGCTACAGCAGAAATGCAAAATCTAAATGATATAAGCATTGGCAAAGTTTTATAGGTAACAGCTGACAACTATATTTTGAGCTTGAGATAAAATGGTCTGAAAAACCCCCACTTCCCCCAAGTTTGGAAAGAGCTAAAACTTTTTTCTTCATGCACTTAATGTCCCCCATATATTCTTAAACCTATAAACATGTTAAGATGCTTTCTGTCTGGAAGGAGAAATAGCAGTTTCTCCAGTTACAAGAAATGCTGTACAATGTTAGAGAGCTTGATTTATCTGCCTGTTCTGAGCTCTTCTTATAACTGCATTTCCTGGCATATGCATTAGCTAATTGAAAACTGGCATTTATTCTCAGCTTGATGCTTTTTCCCACCACTCCACTTGTTTCTCTTAAGCAGTATGGGAAGGCATTTGACAATACCAGAAGAAAAACATTAGGCTCCCTATAAATTAGTTCACTGGGAACTGAAAGTTCAGTCTTAGACCTTTTGGTGCATTTATCTTGAGACAAGTTGTATTTAAAACTGACACACTGAAAGTGTTTAATTCCTTCTGCACTGTTGCAACTAAAAATGGAATTTGATTAAATAAGGAATTCAACTCATTTTGCTAGGTGAGATATTAAATGGACAAAATACTCAACTGTGCTTGCTGTTTGTAGCTCTTCAATTTCTGTGGTTGAAAGCTTTCACTATGCTTCGAGTCTGTGTTCCAATTAAAGAATACATGAGCATGTTAGACAAAAAGTCATGATACACATCAATATTAGAAATGTTCTTGGTGCTTCAAACAAGAATCCAACATAAGCTGTGCCTTGATCTAGAAGTGCCAGTTAATTTTTATATCTACTGATATTTTAGGATTAAAAGTGAGAAGTCTATTTGTAAATGTGTAATACATTGAAAGTTCCTAGTGAAAACAGATCTTGAATATTTAGTCCTTAGGGGAAAAAAAAAAAGAGGGGGGATGGGAGCAGTAATTATTGATTGCAGACTGCCAAGTCTGCCATACAGCTCCTTCCTTCTTCCCCCAACTACCTTTGTTCTGCTATGGCTTGGGTGCTTTCAGATTGCTATTTCCCAGTTTGGGAAGGCAATCCAAGAAGTAGATGGGACTACTGTGGGACTTGTCTAGTAGATAGAACTCTTCTACAGATAAAGAACTGAGCTTGGTTTTCTCTCTCATAAAGTAAATAGTTAATCCAGAATTATACTGTTTGTATTCCAGAAAGCAAAAAAGAACAGTTCTTTTCATATTTTGAAGATATAATTAAGGATGCATCTCTTAAAAAATCTTTTTAATTTAAGAAAACTGAACAAAGGCAAAAGCATTGCTTATGTTTAAACTGGCGGGATACCCTGTGGCAAAGTAACAGAAATGTTTAAGTTTTATGGTGCCTACTCACCCTTTCCATTAAACAGGCTTGTTGCAAAATTCCAAATTTCAAAAAATTTAAAAGGAAAAATGCAATATGGATTGTGCACAAAGCATACTCAGTTATGCTGTGATGAGACATTAAATTGTCTTTATTGTATAGTAGGTGCATTGAAGTTTTGTATATGCAGTAATTTATATAAACTATGTGAAATCATGTCTTATTTGCAAAATAACTTCATATAAAAATAATTCCTAATTTGGTAAGTGCATTAATCCATTTCCTACTGAAGTTAGATCTATGGCAATTAATCTGTCATTAAGGTTTTTATAGAATACCCCTTTGAATGTATTTCACATGGTAAAAAAGCCACTAAACTGAAGTTCAAGACACATTATCTTGCTGGTGCCCTATTCAGTAACAAGTGCTTGACAAGTGACCCCTGATATTCCATTTGTAAAGTGTGCAATTAAAGCTTGTTGACTTCTATAGTCTTTAGCTTTTCCTCAGGCTCAAATCACTGCTTGTTACTAATCCTGAAAGAGATGTACTCTCTGATGCATCTTCTTTCTTGAGGTTCAGGAATGATTCTCTAGTTATCTGAAGAATTTCTCTCAAGCCTTTGTTTTCTTGCTATAACCAGAGGGAAAAAAAGACATTATAGAACTCCAGAAAGAAGGAAGTCAGGATAACTATATTAATAATCTCCCTTTCCAAATGTGTATAAGGATTAAAATATCAACTTGTAGGTAGTGTCATGTTACCTTCTAAAACTAGGAAGAGTAGGTCTGACCCATATGTATGCTCTTTTGAACAGGCATTAAACGTCAAATTAAAGCTCAAACCACACAGTGTAAGAAAAGGATAATTAAATGCAAATGTTGCATTTCAAAAAAAGCCTACTTTCCATGAACTCTGTTCCATAATAAACTCTTATTAGCACTTAGTCAAAATGCAATAGCACTGACCCTGTAATGATAAGAAACCCTGAAGTCTTCCAAAAGCATGAGGTTTTAGATGTTATATAAAACAAATTAAAAATAAGACCTTAAAAATCTTGTGTTTGTGCATATCTACTTGCAGCCTAGTTTCTTACTAGTATGAAGTTGTATTTCACTCAGTTGTATTTACACTCAGTCTTAATAATTAAGTCAGTATGTAAAAGTCAGTATATAAATCACTACTTCCAGAGATGGAATGGTACTTAACACTCCACCCAACAATGGTAGTGCAACAAAATAGCAGTGTGACTGAGTGATACAGTAACTCAGTAACAGTGATAATGTTTACTCTGTTGCTCTAATGGATGAGCTTCAGTTACACTCAAAACAATAGGACCAAAAATATTTGGTCCTAAGACTGTCTGACCAAAAACATTTTACAATAAAACAGACTATACTGAAAACGCAGCATGCAAAGCAACCTGTTTCACGTGCAAGATTCCTATAGAGCTACAAACAGAAAGAAAAGAACCCTTTACAGAACAGTCTAGACTTTAAAAGTGATTTGTATATAATTGGTAGCAACACTGCAAATACTGTACCCAGTTCCCTGCTTATTAATGATGTATAACATAGTTCTACAATGTCTTACAAGAAGGCAGCCAGGAAAAGCCAAGGAGGAAATAATGATTTTCTAATCTTCCTGAGTATTAATCAGATGACCAGAGTAAGAGAAACAAATCCCAGAAGTTACTGATTTAGACAGGTAATTTTAATGCAGCTACCGGAAGAATACAGAAAGTTATTTGCTTAGTAGTTTTGGAAAGATGGTACCATAGTGAAGGCTAGCCTAATGTTAGGTATGGCTCCCCTAAAACTTTGATACACGTATTGAACATATTCTTATGCCTAACCTAATTATCTGAATCAGTCAAGTATTTGCATAAAACTGTCTTTTTTCTGCCCTCTAATATTGGCATTAAGTACATGAGACAATACTCAAGCCCTAAATACTGAAAGACTGTCCAAGACTTGTGTACAGATAGAACTGTAGGGTCAGAATGAAGTGTGTGATTTAGAGATCTGGAATACATATTAAAGCTTGCATGAACACACGAGGTAGCAGTAGCCTGCTCCCCTAACTCTCCAAATAAGCAAGTTTCCCTGTATCGAGGTCTGTACCCTGAATTCTTTGAGGTGTTACAGTCACCTCTAAGTATTTAATGTGGGGGGAAGGAGAAATCATTATTGTGCCATTGTTGTTTGGATTTCATACTTACTTCAAGCTGAATGATACGTTCCTGCTCTTTACAGCCGTGCTTTTCATCAATTTCAATTGCTTTTCTCATTACTGCTGCCATTTCTGTAATTTGGTCCACATGCACTTGTAGTTCCTAAGCCATATAAATAATACGACACTTTTAGTAATCTATTTACTGCATTATTAAAAATAAGCAAAGCATTAAATGTGCATTTTAACTGCTCTGACACTTAATAAAAATATGAATGCAGACCTAGCTTTGTGAAAGAAGTTCTAATTCTGCAGCATGAAGGGCTACTGCAGTCCTGTTCATTTAAATAAATCTGTTCCCTCTTGAGAGTTTTATAAAAGAAAATATGCTTAAATGACTATACCCTTGGCAACTTCCATGCCTTCGAGATGGCTACAGGTGAGCCATGCGCTTGTTCTGGCAAGAATCTCTGGTGTTGCAGGAGATGTGTATCATTGTGGATATGCAGAAAGACCAACTTCACTTAACAACAGCAGCATACGCGACATTCCTTCCACCTATGTGAAAGCTGGTCCCAAGCCTGGTTCAGCCAGTACCAGCCTGTGGGTAGGCATTTGTCTCTTAAAAAGAGCAGGCAAAGTAGTTATCCTTATTACTACATCATATACTAGGAAACTCAGATCTGTCCTTAGCTCTTACCTAAGGTACTTCTGCTCAAATTCAATTTCAGCTGATCTGGGATTTGGACTCCAGAGGTCCATGTCCTTGCTGAACTGTAAGAAATGGGCTTGTATCCTGATTGACCTCTTTGTGTCTGTGAATTAACACTGGCAGGGCACTTTCCCATTGTAAAGAACTACTGCATCTTACTCAGAGTCAAGTAGAGGAAAAAAGTACAATAGTTCTGTTTATAATCTTTTTCCACTGTTGATGGTGATAGGAGCCATTAACACAGGCATAACAGCCTTTGCAAACAAACTTAAATTTTAGATAATTTTCCTTGTTTGCAGAGAACTGATATCTAACCTACTGACTTTGTTGACTTGGGTGATGTTTTACTTTCTCCCTGGCCAACATACCAACAGGAAATGCTTAAAGGGTCCCTACCTACTTCTCCTGTACATCTAGAGAAAATACCTTTGGCATTCACTGCTGTTCAGTTAAGCTAAATGTTGTAATGCTGTTTCCAAAGACCTTATTTTCATTCCTTTCCTCTACTTGTTTCTTATTCCAAATCTACTAACAGCCTTTTCATGTCTGGTCTGACCTTTGCAAAATTCACAACAGTTACTATTACCAGGGAAGAGGACTGAAAACTGCTGTGTATACCTAAAAACAGGATGGATTAAATCCCACCTTTACATTATAAATTTGACTGGAGGTCCACACAGCTAGCAGATGATCAGCTTGCCCTTCAGCTATCAGAAACAACTATAAAAAAAAAATTCTTGGAATTGTAGAGTATCTGACCAAAGCAAGCATACTTCATTAAAAATGAACATCAGCCCCTTCCACCCTTCTCTGCTGTTCCAGCTGCCAAAGCTGTGGTTTAGCTGTTCATTCAGTGTTCACTTGCAGCATGGGTGTGAGGGGAAGGGGGGGGGAGGAGAGAAGGACCTTGCCGTACATCTTTATTTTCTTCTCAATTTCCAATGAGGGTGAATGTATAGAACATTTTTTTCAACAAAAGTTGCTTTTCAGTATATGTTTTTTAAGAATAAGTTTTGGCTTCAAAGGAAGCTGCAGTCAGTAGTAAAAGAATGAGCTGGCAAATCCTTCCTGGAGAAGGATTAGGAAGGAGTTAGTGGCTTTTACATACACTGCTGTCCTCCCTGCTTCCCCTTTGGCTAGTTGATGTGGCCTCTCAATCAGTATGAGCTAGAGCTTGTTTCAAAGTTACTAACCGGAGACCAGATGCTAACACAAAACTGTAAAGCTCTCCTCTGGAAGCCAAATGTGAACAAGTTAGATGCTGTAAGAGCAAACAACACAACATAGGAGTTTCTTTATGAACATAGCTTCAAACATCTATAAACATTTATATTTCCTCTTTTATTTTGCATGTTAGTCTCTCTCTTCACAGAAAACAAACACACAATTCCAGTCCTCATTTCAGTTGAGCAAATTCAAACAGCACAGTTTGTGCAGGGTCTTTACTAGTGACACAAACTTTTCTCATGCACATAAGACTGCTAAAAAATATTTTTCTATTTAAAGGAGGTGCTTGCTGATCTGCAGAAATTAGTGAGTTAAATAATATTTTGCAAGTAGGTACTGAAGTTAATAGCTGCCACTTGACAGAACAGTGTTTACTGGTAACATTGAAATTCATTCCTTAGGTATTATGGATATTTTAGGTAATATGAAAAGCAGCATTTAAAGACTGTTTCAAGATTGTTCAATCTTACTGAATGAGAAGACCGATTAGAAGCATAAATAATGAAATTCCAGAAATCCTAAGTGTCAGGAAAGAGTAATAAATCCTCTGTATCAGGCATTGTTGTGGGGTCAGATTTAACCAAAATGTTGAAGCATAAATTTCCTGCTTAAATATATATATATAGATATAGATATATAGATATAGATATATATAAACACATATACAAATGTTTTTTGTTTTTTTTTGTTTTTTTACTTCCAAGCTTATAATCCATTAAAAAAAATGTTCCTAAATGATTTTCTAAGTCCATTTCAGGACTGATATTTGACCTTCTTGTCTAAGTACCAAAGTCACTCCTGAGGCTACAAATTATATCTCTCTATATATATCAAGGTAACCTCTGAAAAGGATATATACTTTTTTTTTTTAAGGGGCTTATGTTAAAGATACAGTTCTCATCTGGTAAATTCACAATAATTTAAGTAGTCCTATTGATTTTGGTGGAGCTAACTACATGGGCATGCTTCTGTAAAGAGATAAGAAGATCAAAATCCTAAACTGTTCTCACAGTATGCTGACCCAAGCTCTGCCTTTCAGACTTAGTTTGTTGAGGTTAAAGGTAATCAAACATTTAGAACTATTGTTTGTCTATGCAGTTGTAGTGCTGATGATTATATTTAAAATGAAAACCTTTGCTAAAAAGCTTCAGTTTAGATTTGTTAGTGATCTAGAATCACAAATTTTCCTGACAAAATACATAGAAAGCCTAAACTATATATTAAAAAATAATATAATTATTAAAAAATTAATAAAAGCTCTTTTGAGTCTTGGATTTTTAATTTGCTAGACATTTAGCGGAAAAAAGTGTGAAAATTAAGTTTTTAAAACTTATTCCCTCCCCCATTCTCTCCAGTAAGCACAGGTTTACTAATTATTTGTTGGAGTCACAAGCCTAAGTTAAATACAGTCTAAAAATCTCAATATTACTGAGATCTATTGGTATCTGCAACTGTAACAGATCGGTTGACTTAAAGACCTAAGCAAAACTTAAGTACATTAAGTAGATACACTAATGAAGTACTACCTGATAAAAGCTTACATAAATCAGCAGCTGGTAAGGCTAACCTATTAGACTGATCAAGTTTCCTGTTTATATTACCTGGCCTGTAAAGGTTAGAACTTGTTAGTACAATGATATAAAAACTGAGGCAACATAACCTTTGAATTGATCCATTACAAAAAAAAAAAAAAAAAAAAAAAAGCCCAATGAAGTTATTACCTTGGAATGTTGCTCTTTTAACTTCACTATTATACTTGGATCGTCCTTTTTGCTTGCCATAAGCAACCTAAACATTTGTTCTCTGTATTTGCTCATTATGAGTTCCAAAGCAGACTGATGTTCTTCAAGAGACGTGCGTAGTTCTACCAATGGAATTTTAAAATTCAATTAGTTTTACAGAGGAGTGAAACAAAATGCAAAAATACTTCAGCCTGAGAAAACAGACTGTCCTGTCCTGACGCATCACGTCTCCTTCCACCACAAAACCTCCATAGTCTCTGCAAACTTCTTCAGTGGTGACTGCCCAGGAAAATTCTTTTTCAGTCAGAAACAGTCTTATTGGTTGATTTGACTTCAGTCCCTTTAGCTTACGTAAACCATCCTAAGAGTAGCTGAGGAGTTTTACTATAGAGGCTAGAATCAGCCCTGTACATTAATTGGAAAGAAGTTTACATATCTGTTTTAATTTGCAGCTTGGTAAAATACAAATTTTAAAAATGCCCATGTTCAAAATATACTAAGTCTGGCTTAGATTAAAAGTACTAAACAGTTCAGGGCTACCTCAGCTAAAATTTTCCAAAGCAGAACTTCTTATGAACCAAGCTCAAAGACAACAAGAAAAACAGAAAATAGTGCTTTGAGGCCAATTTTGTTCCCCATTTTTTTTTTGTGCTTCACAAAAGGACAAATAATTCCTGAGATAAGACAAGATCCATACAAGTTGAGATCATTGACTCAAGATCATTGCACAATATTTTAGAGTGCCCATGGAATTCCAGGAAGAATGGTATGCTCCTAGTGTATGGAATGCAGAAGGAATTATACTAGTGTACTTATACCTTAAGTTTTCCTGACAGCTCCTGATTTATTTATTTTTTTTATTATTATTTATTTTTTAAGGAATGGAAACACATTTCCACATAGATACTAACATTGTAGAAACTTAGAAACTGTAATTGTATCTCCTTATACTCAACATTAGATAAGGACTGAAACGACTGCTTTCCACAATTGTTTTTTTAAATCCTGGTCCCAGTGGTGGGACATCTGGACTCCATATTTGATTATATTATGATCAGTTAAACTGACAAGTTGAACTTAGAAGAAAATGTTTCTCCTATAAAAAAAATTTTGTGGACTTGATCAATGATGAAAATCTCACTGATTAGACAGGTGCAGGCTCAAACTTGAATAGGATAGTATATTAGTCTTACCTTTATTCTCCTGTTGCAATTCCCTAATCTGTCTGTTTTCTTGTTGGATACCCATCACTAATGTAGACCGAGGACGATGTCTTGCTACTTCATTGAGCTCCTGAATTTCCTCTTGGTACTAGTTATTTAAAAAAAAAAAAAAAAAAAGTCAGCAAGTCACTAAGAACCAGTTATAAAATGTCAGTGAAAGTCTGTAACCAACAAAATACATGCTTGTTTTTAATTAATTATATAAAACAGACAAAACCACATCTGGCAGTACTGCCAATGTACTTACTACCCTTTAGAAACACTTGCTTTAAAACTTGCTTTAATTTTTTTTTAAATCAAAAAATTTGATACCTCAGAGCTGTGTAGTGGGCATGACCTGCAGTTAGTGCAGGTCAAGTTTGCCATCAGGTCATTAGAACAGATACACAGGTGGTAAAGAAAAGCCATGAGGTCCTGACCTCTGCAGCTTCCCAATTCCCTAAAGCATGCGTATGAGCACAAGTCACACGGACCTAAATGAACAAATCCTGACTCTCAGCAAGTGGGTAGATTTAATACTCACTCCTAAGCTATGAAGCCTCTGCATGACTAGTTTTGCAGGGATAAAGCATATAGAATCACATTCTTGCAATGATTTTGGACAGAAGGGACCTTAGAGATCATCTAGTTCCAACCCCGATATGCAGGGTTTTATTATTTTACAGGCTCATTAACGTGGATTGAAATTGAAATGACAGGCTGAACTTCCAAATGGAAAGACAGCAGACACCTTTATGTTTTTCGCAAAGCTCTCTACTGAAAGTCACACTCGACCTAATTATATCCCTCAGACAGCTTAACATCGGAATGGAAATAATAGCAAATATGCCCAAAAGGCTGACTTAAAAGAAAAGGAGACAGTGAAAAGATGGAAGTATTCTGAACAGAAGGACCTATGACAGACCTCTGTATGATTAAATCTACATGTTTGAATCAATAAAACAGGTGGTATTTCACAGAAGAGCAAAACACGAGTTACCACACAATGGTTTGTAGGATACTAACCCCATTCCTACCAGTGCTCTTCACATAAGCACTAGTTTTCAATATTTAAGCTAGAGTAGCAAGCAAAACTTCTTTGCAGGATCACACGAAATTTATAAGCCATCTATTTTTCGATGACAGTCGCACCCACAACAGGAATACTTAGTATGGTATTTAAAGAATAACAAATTACAATACTGATTCTGTATTGCACAGTATCACACAAAAATGTCTTAAGCAATGTGTTTCCAAGCTGATTTTAATGGAGTAAACAAAGAAGAAAAACAAACCTGTTTCATTGCTTCAACCCTCTTGTTAAGAGCTGTAGTCTGTTCGATAAGAGCTTCTGCAGCATTGTCATGTTCCCTTAGCCGTTCCACCAGTGCTTTCGCATCTGCTAAGGCTTTCTCAATTGTGCAACTCATTTCTAAAGGTTAGAAATGGATTATTTTCACACTATTGCCTGTTTTAGAGAGAACCGCTGTGTGAGATATATTTTCTAAGTTTGAAGCAGCTGAATACAACCTTCCCCTCTTCCTCGAACAGCCATAATTGACATTTTAGACCTATGTTGTCTTCAAGGAGTAGGAAAAAATCATATACCCTAAAAATTCTGTTTGCTTTTCCTTCTTTTTAATTGCTGTTCAGACCATGGATTACAGCTAGGAAGTGAAAGTAAATCATGTGTCATGAAGAGAGTACTTGATATTTGCAAAGTATTTGATATTTGAGAAGTATAGATCCAACACAAAAGAGAATGCCAAAGGACTATACATGTAGTAGGCTTGAATACTTTGATGAATTAAGTCAGCAGAGAAAGGGAAGAGCTAAAACTGATAGCATAGAGAAAATTACTGTGGGAAAATTCCAACACCCAAAGGCTTGTGTTTTCTTCATGTATAAAAATGAACACAAGAATCATTGCATGGAATGAAGTTGTAAAATACGTCATTTTCAACAGGATAGAGCAAGAGAGCAACTTGGCCAAGAGAATGAACCGACAGCATAGTTAAAATACCAGCCTTCTAATTGCAGTAGCTGTTAGCAGAAATTACCTAAACTTGCAAAATGCTTACACATGCTAGCATTTTCAACGCACTTTACACTCATTTTCTTGGACTTATTCTTGATAGATTACATGTCAAGACTCAGACTCTTCATTCTTCAAGTTTTTGTTTTAAGAAATCTTGTGTGTTTTCTACTGAAAAGAAAATCTATTTCAACTCCTTGATAAGTTCTTCAGCAATAAGACACTAATGATAGAGGCTTATTAAAGACACGCGCCTTATTAATGTAAAGCTTGATATTTTTTTCAGGAAATTTTCTGTGAGAATCTATTTCTTAGCTGGGACATTTGCTGAAGGAGAGATTTTTGCAAGCATAAAATGTCAGTGAACAACTGAGATACAGGGCAAAATAACTTGCTTCAGATTGGTTTTCTGACTTAGGCTCCTTTACAAATCATAGCATAGGATCTTTAGCCAAATTGAAAGAAATCTTCATGTTTTCCCCAACTGACCTTTTCCCACTGCCCATGTACGTAGCAGAAAAAAGGATATTTCCAATACAGGAAATTTCACCATTACCCTCAAAGATTTACAAGCGTATCAAGGACATCCCATCTACATGCACCGAGATGTGGGGGGAAGCTAACGTCCTCTCTGAAGAGCCTATGTGCACCCCTGACCTTTCTTCAAAGCCTAACCTCCCCAGATATTTTAATTTGGTAATTTCGTTAATTGTTCCCTCTACTCTGAGGAACATACGTAGCAGAAAAGCATTTTGTTTACTTTTGCTATGCAGAAGGGTCCCAGAAAGGTTGAGTCTTGCTTCCTGACAGAGAAGCTTGAGTAAGCAAGCTTCATGTATGCACGGTGCACAACCATTTTAAACTTTTTTTCTGCAAATTGTGTGTTACCAAAAGCATCACCATTTGGCACATACAGATTTCCTATAAATATCCACAATGTGAATTCCTTAATATTTATCAACTCAAGTTTTCATTTTAACTTCCATATTTATGTACTTGAGGTATCAAGTCAAGTCCTTCAGTAAACTAGTGCGTTATCACAGGCAGTTAATATATTCACTTGGGTTTGGCAGTTCGAGCTCTTTTTCATATCGTGTAGAAAGGAATCATATTGTGTTGCTTTTAAGGATCTGCTCTGCTTGCGCCTTATTTCTCCTTCAATTTTGGTCTCATGTTCTTGCTGGGCTACAAAGTCCTACACACAAAACCTGACCTTCCATGATAGCTGACTAAACCGTTACAGACATTGATTTAATCAGATCCATATTACAAGAGAATTTGAAGGGCAGTCTTTAGCGCTATTCACAGGCCACAAATTCTCCAGCCATCACAACCAAAGCCTCTCAGACCTCTCTGTGATCTGGGAGCACATTTTGCATTGACTACAATGTAGCTAACACCTCGGATAATTTGCATCACTGCCATTTTTTAAGCAAGGTATGTGTTCATCCTTCTTTGCGCTTTGACACAAGACAAAAAGAAATCCCCTTCTTGCAAAGCTGTTTCCATTCCTTCTCTCAGCAGATGAGCCAGGGCAGACACGTGTGGAACGAGGCCGCACAAACTGGGCAGCAGCCACCTGCCCTCCCAGCGCTGAAGGTGAAGCGGGCCTCAAGCTACATCCTGTTTTTGTGCAGGATACATGCCTCAGGAAGGAGGCTCGTTATTTGCATCATTGTAATCACAGCCCCAAACGTTGGCTAGGCTTCCTCTGGGTGAGGCACCGGCCCTGACCTGTGGCATTTACAATTCTCTCCTCTTGCCCACTGGCTGCCGATCACAGGCAGAACGGTTGTCTTATCCTAAAAGATATCTCCGTACGTGAGTTAACCCGAGCGTTTAGAAATTAAATACCAGTGAACCAAAGACGTTCGGCGCAGGGCAGTTCCCATGCATCCCTTTGCTCGCAGGCAGGCTGCTAGTGGCGGTGACACCCTGGGCTGCCCCCGCAGGGCTGTGGGGCTGCAGGTGACCGACACGGCCCGGCCGCCACCACGGACTCGCTCCCCGTCACTTCCTGCCCTTCGCTAATTGCTCCCCCTACCTAATTGGGCAGCACGATAACCAACCCAAAACAAAGACTCCCGCCCAGCCCAGCCTCCCCTGGGCTTTGACTCCAAATCCGCCTCGGGGCGGCCTCACCGACCTGCTAGGTTTACAGCAGTCAGGACTATCGCGACACCCGCCGCCTGTCGCGAGACGGCAGGCACACGAAAGCTGACAGAAGCTCCCCCCCATCTCCCCGGACCCCTCTCCGTTTGCCTGCCTCCCCCCACACCCTGCCGCCCCGCTCCGCTCACTCATGGCCACCGGCTCCAGCGGCGCCCCGGGGCAGGTGTCAGGGCCCCGCTGCCCGCCCCGCTCTCAAATGGCGGCGGGCAGCTGCGGGGCGGCGCCGCGCCGTGACGGGGACGCGGACGCGGGCGGGGCCTCGCTCCCCCCCCCCCCCCCCACCTCTCGCGAGAACTCCGCCTCCCGTCTCCCCTCCTCGGCTCGCTATTGGCTGTGGGGCGGGAGCCCCTCCCCTTTCCCGTGCCCCATGCCGCCCCCCCCCCGCGCGGCAGGCAGTTGCGAGGCGGCGCGGGAGGCGGCCGCCGGCTGGGCCATGGGGGCTGCGTGACCCCGGCGGGGCGCCGGGGTCCGCGGGGCAGGAGGAGGAGGAGAGGAGAGGAGAGGGGAGGGGAGGGGAGGGGAGGGGAGGGGAGGGGAGAGGTGCTCCCCCTGCCAGCGCTGGGGGAGCCGCTGCGCCAGCGGCGTAAGTGGCCGCGCGGGGGTCCCGCGGCCTCAGGGGTGGGCGGAGCGGGGGGGGCTGCGGCCGCTTCTCCCACCCCCGCGGGCGCCGGGCGCGGAGGCCGGAGCCGGGCCCCGAGCTTCCCGTCGAGCCGGCGGCGGCGGCGGCGGAGGAAGCGAGCGGAGCCGGGGCATGGAGGCCGCCCGGCCGGAGGCGCCCGGCCCTCAGTAGGGCGCCCCGTGGGGCCCATCCCGCCTCCCCGGAGCGGGCCCGCGGCAGGGCCCGGGCGCGGCGAGGAGGAGGAAGAGGAGGAGGAGGAGGAAGAGGCGGCCCGGGACCCGCGCAGCAGAGGAGGAGCCGGCCCAAGTAAGGCGGGCCGCGGAGGCGCCCGAAGCACGGCGGGGCGGCCCCAGGGGGGCTCCTGGGCGCTGGGCAGGCACCGAGCAGCTGGGAGCCTCCCCCGGAGGCTGCGCTGAGGCTGAGGCCTCCCCACGGGTTCCCCCGGTGGTGGCAGGGGCTGGGGAAGCCTGGTGTGTGGGTGTGAGAGGGGCCGCCTTGGGGCGGTGTCAGGCTTCCGAGCTGGGAAGGACGCAGGGGGTTTTCCTGCGGGACGAGGAGTGCTTCTGTCACAGTTCTGTCAGTGAGAGATCAAAGTGCGGGTGTTCGCTTAAAAACGGCAGGATGGATCTAGAAAAGTAAAGGGTGAAGGTTAGCTCAGTCCCAACGCTTATGCTGTTTCGAGGCCTGTGAGGGTTTTACCATGCCGGGCAGCTGAATTCAGCCATAACCATTCCCTCACTCACCCTCTGTAGAAGAAAAGGAGAAGAAAAAGTGTGCTGGAAAGAAAAGAAAAATAACCTCATAGGTTATGATAAGTATAATTAAAGGGAAAAGGAAGGAGGGAAAAACAAGCAAAGGCATCATGGAAGCATATAGAAAGAGAAAAGCAATTACTCTCTACTTGCTGTCAACAGGCAATGTTTGACCACATCCCAGGCAGCAGGCCCTCAATACATGTAACAGTTGTCTGGGAGGACAGATTTTTTCATAAGGAGAGTCCCCCTCCCCTTCCCCATCCCCATCTTTTATTGCTGAGTGTGACATCACATGGTATGGAATATCCCTTTGGTTGGTTTAGGTTAGCTGCCCTGGTGATATTCCTTCCTTACTTTTTGTCCACCCCCAGCCTGCTGGCTTGGGTTGTTAGAGGGAGTCCTGATGCTGTGCCAGCGCTGTTCAACATCAGACACAACGTTGGTGTGATACCACTGCTGTTCTAGCTACACGTGCAGAGCACAGTATTGTGTGGGCTGCTCCAGGGAAAGTTAACTCCATCCCAGCCAGACCCAGTACAGTAGCCTAATCATAAATGATTTTGTTCCTGTTGTTTCTTCTAGCAGGAAAACTTTAAATTACTATGTCTGTATGTCTACATTTTGTGTAAATGTTTCTTTTAATTAGAGAAGGGAGGAGGGTAATACAGTGTATCATTATTGCCTCCTCAGCTATACACATTCATGTTCCCTATTTTTTTTCCTCCTGAGGGGAAAAACAGTTTCTTCCAGTTAGAAAACTAGTCTACCAAATGTATGGACTAAAGACCGAAGGGGAGATTTTTGTCTCCATGTAAACAGAGCCTTAAAATAGGCATTTTCATAGCGGCTTTTGAAGCTCAACAAATAGTGTGAGAGTAGCCAATGTATACAATGTATGATCTAAATACTTTGAGGGGTGACCTCTCTAAAACTGAGTGTTGTAGAAAGATGCTTCTATGTAAGCTATATATACTGTACAGTAATCTTGTGATTTTTTTCTAATCTTGTACATCTTCTAATCTTGTATATTTTTTTCTAATTGTAATATCTGTTTGCTTTAGGAAGAAAATGAAAATCTTCTCTGAGTCTCATAAAACTGTTTTTGTTGTGGATCACTGCCCATATATGGCAGAATCCTGTAGACAGCATGTTGAATTTGATATGTTAGTAAAGAATCGGACACAAGGAATTATACCTCTAGCACCCATATCAAAATCGCTATGGACCTGTTCAGTGGAATCATCCATGGAGTACTGTAGAATAATGTATGATATTTTTCCCTTCAAAAAGCTGGTAAGTCTTTGCAGAAATAACGCACTTGATACTTCATTGTTTAAAGAGTGTTTTCCCATTTTAACGAAGCCTTCTGATATCGTTAGCTGTTGCTAGAAATTTAAATATAATTAATCGCATAAAATATCTTGTTAATAGAGCTTATAGCTTTTAAAATTGATTTGAGTAGTACATGAGTCCCATTACATGTTTATTTTGGTGACCTCGATTTTCTTAATGTCCTCTGCAAAACATGAGGAGGGGTGCGTTAAGGTAACACAGATTTACTGTGTTCTTGTAATCTGTAAGTTTACAAAAGCTTGAGTGATGTCTTGCTGCATATCACACCCTGCCTGTAAATGTACTTGGTAGCACTTCTTAGAGTTTTTAGTACTAACTTCAAAGGAATGCTGGCCGGTAGAAGAGGTAGGATATCTCTTAAACTGCTAGCTTGAAAAAGTGTGAGAGCTTCCTGGTATGCATCTCTTCTTTGGAAGCATCAATCTCTGGTGGTTCTGTAATATTGTATCATAAACTAAGGTAACTAACCCCTGATTCCTGAAGTCAGTAGATGTTTGTGTTGAGTAAACTGTTGTGCAAACCGTTGTGTCCTTAGACTGGATGCTGTTTTTAAGAAAAACAGTTGAATTTGTGACTGATGCTGCTCTGGAGTAATGATAATGGAACAACTGTCTGTGTCAAAGCAAGGGGCACGGGCACAGACAGCACTAAGAAACACCACTGGTAGCTCCATGGTTTGGTGTGTCAGTGGCTCTGCCCTGAGGGGTTGCAGACAGTTCTCAGGCAACAGACATTTAACTTAAACTACAGTCAAGTCCTACAATGGGATTATGCCAAGTGTGCACTTAATTGATTTTAATCACTTGGCTGAACCCCAGCCTGTACAGTCTGAGGAGTAGAAATTAAGATGAAAGGTGTGCCTCCCCTTGTCTGACTTTGTCAACTTTAGAACATACTTTTCTGTCTGATGTTTTGTAAAACTTGATAGATGCTCTCCAAACACTGTCACAGTTGACAGGGGTAAACAATTTGCTCTATCGTGGTATTAGAACTTACTTTGCTTTGTGGATGTTCTTCTACTGAAAATATGACCTGGTTGTTAAGACTTCATAACATCTTGAAATACTAACTTGCTGTTGAGATTGATTTGATGGCTTAAAAACAAATACTTTAATGTTAATCATAATGTTGCTTAAAGAGTAAATGAATATGGCAGCAGTGAATGCTTTTTGTATGTCTTATGTTTAGCTTGGCTTTCAATTGCACACATTTCCAGGCTATTGGTTAATTAATGTGAAGAGGGAGGTGTGACTCATGTTAGCTAGGATTTGGGGAAGTAGCTGTAATCCATGGTTGTGATTGGCTGTTACCTTACATGCACTTTTTAAATCCTTTTAGGTAAATTTCATTGTGAGTGATTCTGGGGCTCATGTCTTGAATTCTTGGACCCAAGAAGATCAGAACTTGCAAGAAGTATGCTCTATAGCTGTTCTTTGGTTCAGAAAGTCTAGTTTAATTGCAGAATAAATAGCAATATCTTACTATATTCAATATTAAGTAATTTTAATGAAGTGTCAGTGTATCTGATCTGAAAATATTACATAATAGAATTTTAAGAAGTAGACTAGGGTCAGACTATTCAATAGGCAATTTTACATCAGTTTAAAAAAAAGTAGCTTTCAGGATCAGATCATATTAAAACTAGTGTTATGAAGAAATTAGCTGTATGTGCATTTCTTCTGTAAACTAGTGATACCTTTTGAATTTTACACTTTTTTTTAAGTTTGGCAAGCTAGGCAAATAAACTTTTTTAAAGAAGAAAAGTGTAAACAGTGTTTGTATTCTCTTTGCTCTCATTTTGTTTCATATTGGACTCATTTTCTGAAAAACTCACTTTGGGAAGGAAATCAGATTTCCAGGTTTTCAGAAAATAAAAACAGAGGGCAATTGATAACATTTGAATTTTTAGGTGTGGGATATAATTTGCAATTATAGCCAGTTATTTTTCTACAATAATCTTATAATCTCAGTGGTTGGTAACGGATGTTGAATCAACTGCCATGGATAAGTTGGGTCCAAAATGTTTTCTAGAGTGATGGGAACATATAGAGATGTTTTATTGCTCTATTTGGTTTTCTCCTGACAATGTTAATTTGCATGTAAAATAAGTTATAATGATGACTTTTTCTCTTAATTGGCCTGTTTATCAAATGCCTGAAAAGTAACTTTCAATACTTTCTTTAACTAGTTAATGGCAGCATTAGCAGCTGTTGGTCCACCTAATCCTCGGGCAGATCCAGAATGCTGCAGCATACTTCATGGTCTGGTTGCAGCAGTTGAAGCGCTTTGTAAAATAACAGAATACCAGCATGAGGCTCGAACCATGCTCATGGAGAACGCAGAACGTGTTGGAAATAGAGGAAGAATAATCTGTATTACCAATGCAAAAAGGTACTTATAACTTTGTTTCTACCATTTAAAGATAAGGAATTTAATACGTTTTTGCAGTATTCTGTTGATTGCTATGAATTAGTGCTCCAAGTAGCTATCTTCTTCAATGGTAGTGAGGCCTTGCAGAGAGATCTGGACAAATTAGAGAGCTGGGCAATTAACAACAACGTGAAGATTAACAAGAGCAAGTGTCGGATTATGCACCTGGGAAGGGGCAACCCTGGCTGTACTTACAGACTGGGGGAAGAGATGCTGGAGAGCAGCCCCACAGAAAGGGATCTGAGGTTTTTGACTGACAGCACACTGAAAATGAGACATTGGTATGCCTTGGTGGCTGGGAGGGCCAACTGTCCCCTGGGGTGCATCAAGAATGGCACTGCTCTAGTTGCTTGAGGGAAGTGGTTGTACCACTCTCCTCTGTGCTGTTGTGTTCTTACCTTGAGTACTGTATGCAGTTTTGGGCCCTGCAGTAGAAGAGAGATAAAACTGTTGGAGAGCCTCCAAAGGAGGGCAACAAAGATGTTAAAGGTTCTAGTGGGCAAGATATATGAGGAGCAGCAGAGGTCCCATGGTTTGTTCAGCCCAGAGCAGAGCAGGCTGAGGGGAGGCCTCATGGTGGCCTGCAGCTCCCTCATGAGGGGAGCGGAGGGGCAGGCGCTGAGCTCTGCTCTCTATGAACAGCGACAGGACCTGATGGCACAGCATGGAGCTGGGACAGGGGAGGGTGAGGCTGGGGGTTAGGGAAAGGTTCTGCACCCAGAGGGTGGTCAGGCACTGGGACAAGCTCCCCAGGGTAGTGGTCACAGCTCCGAGCCTGCCAGAGTTCAAGAAGCATTTGTTTGGACAACGCTCTCAGACATAGGGTCTGATTACTTCTTTTTTTTTGTGTGTGTGTGTGGGGGGGGAGTCCTTTGAGGACCCAGGAGTTGGACTTCATGATCCTGGTGGGTCCCTTCCAACTCAGTTATTCTATGATTCTTTGTAGATCATGTCTTGCTCTACTGAGAGCTTTGTTTATGGACGTGTGCTACAGTAACCAGCCAAAATTTTCCCACTTCAAGTAGGACATCATGTAGTGGCACGTTGCTTTGAGCAAGAGGTTTGATAATACTGCATAAAAATATGTATATTCAACTTCTTTCTAGTGACAGTCATGTTCGAATGCTTGAGGATTGTGTTCAGGAAACCATTCATGAACATAACAAACTTGCAGCTAATTCAGATCAGTGAGTATACTGTTAATAGTTCTTTATTCTGCATGCGCCTGTTATGTCCTCTAAGAAATACAAGTGTGTCTTTGTCACTTAAAACATTCTAAAACTTTTTCTGATGAATGGTTAGAACGCTGGTGTGAAACAAAGGGTTCCAAGCCTGTGTGTAATCATTACCTGCTCAAATTTCAATTTCATATATGTGTGTGTTCGTGTGTGTGTATACATATATATATAATGTATATTTGACAGTACTGCCTGGGAATTGGGTTCTAAGTCCACTGTAAAAATGATTCACACGTAGTTTTTCATACATCACTGTAGTGAGAGATGCTAACCAGTATCTTGATCTCTCCAAATATCCAGTCGTGTTAGGAGACATGGGTAGATAACTTTCATGTTCACTGGAATACCTTAATTACTAAACAAATACAATGATTAATATTAATACACATACCTGGAGACACAAATCCTTTGTAGTGTCAATTTTCAGATGAATGAAGCTAAAGAGTATATCAGTTAAGGATCTAGCTCACTGATCTTTCCAAAAAGTAGCACAGTGCTATTGCAGCTGAAGAGCTAGAAATGTTACACGCTTTTTATTCTGATAATTTTGAAATATGCTTCTGAAAATCATTAATGTAACCTAGTTTTTAGAAAATGCATTCAGAAGCAGTATGTTGTAATATGTCTCAGATTTTGTGTTTTGGCAGTCAAATGAATCCTATGAGAACCTGTGTAATTTCTGAGATACTTTCTGACACTCTGTAGGTTAAATGGAATGTGTGTTTTTTTTTTGTTTTTTTGTTTTTTGTTTTTTGTTTTTAATTTTTAAGTCTAATGCAGATCCAGAAATGTGAATTGGTCTTAATCCACACATACCCAGTTGGTGAAGACAGCCTTGTTTCAGATCGTCCTAAAAAGGAGGTAAGGAGTTTAAAATGAGAAAATGTATCCTAGTATTAGTAACAGTGTCAGACTCAAAGTAAACAGCGCAAATTAAGTATACCTCAATAAGGCTTTGAGCCTCTGCTAAGGCATAGGAAAAAACACAAGTGTTGATTATTTGAAAAGTTGGCAGCGTGCATATTGCTGTTTAACATGTATGCTTTGATTACTTCTACATATGTCATCATCTTCATTTTATTACTTAAATTGCTTGCAGTAATAATTCATGTTTCTTTTTTGTGAAGAAAAAATAATTGGATGATTATAACATTGGGTTTGGTTTCCCTTACTTTTGAGAGGGAAATACATAGTTAGGGATCTAATGGAAAACCATCAGCTACTTGTGTTGGATGGGGTAGCTGAATAACCCTGCTATTCAAGCAGGGTTTCTTCATGTTTTAACATGTATCTGTTAAACAACGTGGATATTGTGCAGTGCTGTGTTCCACGTTACAAGGCTAACACGTTAAGATTTTAACTATTAGTTGAATGATTTTCTCATGGTAACGAAATGGAGCTTTTGTTTATGCTGTCAAATGCTAGCAAACAGAATGCCTTTTCAATAAATAATAAGGGAGACCTTATTGCTCTCAACAAATACCTGAAAGGAAGGTGTGGGGAGCTGGGGGTCAGCCTCTTCTCATAGATAACCAGCAGTAGGAGTAGCGGGAATGGCCTCAAGAAAAGGTAAAAGGACACATATGAGAAATTACTCTATATTAACATTTCAACTGTAGTAAATGCGTGTGTCCTCTATGGACTTGTCAGCTTTGTGGTTTGTTTAAAATAAGTACGTTCCACAGATTTTGATAAATTCTGCTGATCTTCAGTCTGAAATGCTTAGTATTTTAATGTGCTGACTATAAGAAAAATACGCAAGGGAAAAAAGCACTATTCTTAACACAAAATGCATCTAGTTCTACATCTAACTTCACAAGTAAAAAGGAATGTGTTTTTTTGTCCTACATTTTTTCTTTGCTAGAGAAACTTACTAGTCATGCTAAAAGAAACAAAGTCAACAGAAGAGAATAAATAAATTGACTGCTTTCCTTTGTAAGGTGGTCATTGCTCTTTAAGCCTAAAACCAATATAATTATTCCTTGCAAAGAGAAAATCAAATGGAACTTAGTTTGTGTTTCTTTTGTGTGTAACACACAAATAGGTATATAGAAGTGACTTTGCTCCTGTTACTCAGTGGGTGAAAGAGGGAAAGTCTAGACCCAGAGCTGCTATTAAGAGGATTCTTTCCCTATGTACTATTTCTAATTCTTGCTATTAACAACTAATTGCTCAGGGTTTCGGGCACAGTTCTGAATACGGGATACATTGTAGCAACTGTAACTGACATAACCGGCAAAGTTCTGAATGAGAAATAATTTTTCTCTTTTCCTTCTTAACTTTCCATGGTGTTTTCTTCCTGATTGAATTTAGTAGTATAAGTGTGCTTAGTTTAGAGTTTCAACTGGTTTATCTTGTTCCATGATACTGGAGCCTAATCCATTAATACCATATATTCTATGTCCATTTGTTCTAGCTTTCACCCGTTTTAACCAGTGAAGTGCACAGTGTCCGTGCAGGACGGCATTTGGCTACAAAACTGAATGTTTTAGTACAACAACACTTTGATCTGGCTTCAACCACAATAACTAACATTCCTATGAAGGTAATATTGTGTCTATTGCTTTGTTGGCCATCTGCAACACTTCAAAATTTGTTTGAAAACTTTTAATGTCTATTTAAATGGGATTTTTTACGTGGCTTTTCTCTCCATATCATATTTTCTGTTTTGTTTGTTTTTTTTTTTATTAGCCCACATTTAATGTTTGTGACCAGGTTAGTAAAAGTAAAGGGGGTGGAAAAAGTTAAGAAGGATCACAGAACAAAAAGTATTGCTGAATCTTAATTTTGATGTAGCAATGCAGGCAATATTCCATTTCTGTTAGTAATATTTTATAGAAATACTATTTACCTCACATTAAGTTTTCTGTGATTCTCTTGTCTTTTTCTAGTTGTGTTGATTAGATATTCTTGACCCTTGTGCATTTTAGTGGCATAGCAAGTCTTTCCTTTGTCTTATTATCATGCCCACCCAACATAAAGGTGTTTGTAACTAACAGCTGATTTTAGACTAAAAGTTTTTCAGTAGATTTTCCATTTTGAAGACCTGAAGCCAGAAAGGGGTGGGACAGAAGGTATAATCTAGCCAAAGAAGATACTAAATTTAATATCTTCTGTTCAAATTTATGTCCCCTTTTTTTTTTTTTAATCAATACCAGAAAGGAAATCACTGCAGTTAAGTATTTAAAGTATTCTTCAGTTTAGAGTAACTTTATTTCAGCTGTCTCTTGCTACCTGATTCCAAGCGTCACTATTCAAACAAACAGAAGGGGTAGGGGCGGATAAACTTTTCTGATTTGAAAAACAAGGCAATGTTTTAATACTGTCAATCTTTACTAATTACATATTTTGAAAAACAGCAAACTTGTATGAGTGTCTTTCAAAAGTAGCCTTTTTGTATGGATTTAATAAGTCAAAACCTGGAATTAAAGTTGTCACAACACATTAATTGTTAATGGAACTTTGAAGAGGGTTATCATATAAATGCAACTCTTAGGCTTGCAAATACCTTTTCTGTAACTTTCTGACCTGTGTGCTGCTGGTGTGCCTCTCCCTTCTGTCCTTGTCCTTATAGTAATAGACCATGCTGGGTTCCCTGTGTGTGTGTTTTTTTTAACTTGGAATAAATTACTGAAATTACTTTTCTGGTTTTGCTTATCTGTTGCTGCTTTTTAAAGATGCAGCATTTATTAATTTTCAGTTAAAAGTATGTTTTTTCATGCATCTTAAGTACAAGAAAAGGATGATACATTCCAAGTGTGTTTCTTTGGTTTAGATTCTTGAGTTTTTAGTTACGAAAAGTAGGTGCTGATATATTCTGCAGTGCTCGTTTGCTGCTGCTTAGTATGTTCTAACCATTGGTGATAAACATTACATCATAGGCTTCCTAAACTTAATTTAAGCAAAATCATATGAAACCAGTTTTAAATCTATATCTTACATTATGGACACTGTCATGACTCTTCTATTAAGAAGAAAGTATAGGGTTTCAAAAAAGGAATAAAAAGAATGAGATGGCTGCATCTTTAAATAAGTCAGAGCAGTTTCCCCAAACTGCAATCCCATGGTTGTATGATGCACTTGAGACTTCTCATTTTCTTCTGAAGTGACAGGTAAATGTAAAATCATTGGAACAGTTAATTTATAAAAAGCAGTGACATCTAGGTAAACAAACTGTATTCATTGTTCCTGCCTGTCTCTTTTGAAGGAAGAACAACATGCTAACACATCAGCCAACTACGATGTGGAGCTTCTTCATCACAAAGAAGCACATGTTGACTTTTTAAAAAGTGGTAAGTAGAAATAATCCTGTAAAGAAAGTTTCCTTTTTTTTTTTTTGTTTTGTTTTAGTTACATAGTGGAAGTATTCACAAATGGGTTTATGAGCTTCAGATTGATGTAAGTTTCAGACATGACTCTTAGAGTTAAGGAGAAACCTATTTCCAAACAGCACATTTTCAGTTCCTTGTAACCTAACAACTTGATTTGCGATGTTAGCTTTGGAGTACTGTTACTGGCATATTTTAAAGTAGTAATAAGACAAACTCAAAACCAGGCCATTCATCACAACAACTTTCACATACATTCAGGATTTTTGTGTGTGATTTATGAGAGGGGCATTTCAACTTCTTACTGAGATACTAAAAAAAAAAAAGTTGACTGAGAGTTTAGATGTGCAGTTGTTTTACAAGAGCACTACTTCAGTATTTGTGGAAAATTATTTATTGAACAGTTGAGCTTTTAATCTGTCAAGTAATAACAACTGACACCACTTAGATCCCGTAGACCTGGTTTACAACAGTAATTGTTTTGAAAAACACAAGAGTTACTTGGTTTGAGCTTTCTCACTGCATTTGAAGTACCTAGTATGCTTTTAATAGTTTTGAATTATTACCTAATATTCCTCTCAGGTGAATTCTTAATAACTTCTCTGAGATTAGAGTAAGTCGTATGCAAAATTATCTTGTTCAGAAAGCAGTGTTTGATATAGAACTTTGTTAATAAATCAAGTGAGGCTAAAAACTCTGTATTGATGGTACTTAGAAGCTATAAACCAAGCAACTGAAAAAAATGTCCATCTGTAAGTCTTCTGTGGAATATTTAAAATGTACGCCTCTTCAGAAGCATTGAATTCCCATTTGAAATTTTTATAGGCTGCTATAGGCTTTTTCTTACAGTGTGGTCTTTAACTTTTTAAAGGGCCCTAAATCATAGAAATCGGTCTCACTTGCTGTATGTATAGAATATGTCCATTTAGTCACAGGCTACAGCTACTTTTTTTTTTTTTACTACTAAAAGCTACATTGCACGGCTTTAAAGCATATTAAGAAGCTGATGTTTTAACTTCTTAGAAGTTAAGAATAATATTTTAACAGATGAGTTACCTGTGTGTCGTGGTTTAACCCGGCCGGCAGCTAAACACCACGCAGCCGTTCGCTCACCCTCCCCCCTCCCTCTCTGGGACGGGGGAGAGAAATGGAAAGTGAAGCCCGTGAGTTGAGATAAAGACAGTTTAATAAGACAGGAAAATAATAATAACAAAATAATAATAAAATAATAACAATAATAATACAATGGTGATAATAGGAAAGTAATAATAGTATGTACAAACAAGTGTTGCACAATGCAATTGCTCACCACTCGCTGACCGATGCCCAGCCTAACCCCGAGCAGTCCGGCCCCCTCCCCCCGGCTAGTCACCCCTATATGTTGTTTAGCATGACGTCAGATGGTATGGAATACCCCTTTGGCTAGTTTGGGTCACCTGTCCTGGGTCTGTCCCCTCCCAGCTCTTACTGCACCCCCAGCCTGCCCGTTGGCAGGACAGAGCAAAAGGCTGAGATGTCCTTGGCTTAGTATAAGCACTGCTCTGCAACAATTAAAGCATCGGGGTGTTATCAGCACTCTTCTCATCCTAAGCCAAAACACAGCATTCCACCAGCTACTAGGAAGAAAATTAATTCTGTGCTAACTGAAACCAGGACACTGTGTCAGTTATCTAACAACGAGTTAAACAACTTTTCCTCTGGAGGTTTGAAATAATTTGGACAATTTTAGAGGGGGTTGGGCTTCTATTTTTCCCCCTTCCTCTTAAGATGGGTCCCTGCTCCAGCATGAGTCCCCCCTGGGCAGCAACTCCCCCTGGATCATCTGTCTACTTTGGGCTCCTCTCCACAGGCTGCAGCTCTGGCCCAAAGTCTCCTCCTGCAGGGACTCAACCATTACTTCAGGAAAAGAACATATCTCCCCATCTGTAATTAGTATAGTCCATTTTTTGGTGGAGTAAAGTTTGAGGAAAAAAAGTATATGTTAGAATAATGAGTTCAGACTCACCTGAACTTGTTACCCATGTTGAAAGTATAAAGCTTTATTGCAGGGGTTTGGTATTAGTTTTCTAATGCTTATTGGCTCAGGGGAATAAGTCTTCTAATAAAACCCCAAACCAAACTCCTGCTGCATTGCCTCTTTGATTTTTTTTCTATCAATTCCTGTAAATTTTGGTTCCCTTTTGTTTTTAAAAATATAGGTTTCAACTGTAATAACTCTGGTACTAGGAAAGGGGGAATTTGATTAGCAACATTTTACAGTAATAAGATACAGAAAGCTAATCTAAAGGCCAAATGTATTTATTCTTAGATTTTCCAGGAGGATTCCAGATATTTTAACTGTAATCTTTAAGTAATAGAAAATATTATTTCTACAGGTTACCTATATGATTGATAAGTAAATCAAATAAATCTTATGAGTAAAAAGTAAAAGTCTTTATAATGTGGTATCAATGGAACTTCTTACATGAAATATTAAACTAAACCCTAACACATTGCATAGAATGTTGTGTTGATGTATGTATCTAATTCCTCTCAGATGTTGGTGGATTTGAGCATGGCATTTTCTGACTGTTACTGTAATTCTGAAACTTTGTATAAAACTCAGTCGATGCCTTTCTTAATGTCAAAGAGCACGAAGAATTACAGAACTCACTGGCACAGTGTAATGTCCCTTTATTGGTGAAGCACTGTATGAAAGTAATTTCAATGATAAAACATCTGTGGGCAGTGAAAGCTCTTGAGATGTTCAAATTGAATTTGACGTAGCAAAGATTCTGGGTAATGAGACCAGTACTATTTTCCCACCAAAGTCTAACTTGTCAAATATGCCTTTAGATCAGTTTCAGTGAAGACTATGAGATATGTATAGAAGCTGATCAGCCCTAAATAAGGGTTCTGACACTTGTTAAGGCTGTGGAAAATTAATAAATAAATAATAAATTAATAATTATTAATAAATGAAATAATAATTATTAATAAATAATAAATAAAGCTGATTTGGCTGTGAAAAATTATAGAGATGCTTTCAAAGTTCTGGGCATTTTTAAAGGAAAAAATAAAAGCCTATTGCAGATTTTAAAAAAAAAAAAAGTATTTTACTTTCCATAGTATGCTCCAAATATTTGACAGAGCTACAGTATTTTGTTTGCTTTTTTTTTTTTTAATACATGCAATGGCTGCTGATTTCAAAAGGTTATTTCAAGTACTACTACTAATATATGGATTTTTTCACTTGTTAGGTATCTGACTTGAAAATTAGTTTATGTTTTGTATATGATTGTTTCAAATGTTTTGTACCTTAAATTGTTTTGAGTGTTGTTGTTTTTGCAGTAACACTTCATTCTTACATAACTATTCGCTGTGTTTTTGTGTAAGAAAATATTTGATTGCATTATGATGCATTTTTTTCTGGCTTAATATTGCAGGTGATAATCACGTAGGTGGCAACAGTAGAGAAGGCACATTTAAAGAAACTGTAACATTAAAATGGTGTACTCCCCGAACAAATAGTGTAGGTAGGTAACGTGATGTCTTACAAAACTAATACTCTAACTTGTGTTACATATTTTGCTATACATATGCTGACAAGAACTTGAGCAAGGAGATAAGTCATCAGTTAATGCTATTTTTACCTTCTATTCTGTTGAATTCTGCTGAATGCATTCTGTTTTAATAATGGTGATATGATGCTCTTCTAATTTTGCATAATCAATGATTTGTGAAAGAGGTGGGGGAGATTGTAAATGTTTTCATGGTGTTTTATCATTCTCCTTTTAATTATCTTGAAGTTGTTTCCTAACTGCAAAGTTGAGAAATCTGTCCCTTATGCAGTGGCAACTATACCTTGTCAGTTCCACAGTGGTTTTCAACACAGCTTTCAGACTTCTTTAATTGATTGTTGTTTTAGGACAAAATATGAATCAAAGCACTATCTTTAGTGTAAGTACTAGAGTACTAAGAAAACTTTTGTTTGGAAGGAAACTTGTGCAACAATTTAATCAGATTCTTTCATTCATCTATATTGACTTTCTAATCTGAGTGAAGGAAAGATTGCCCAGAGAAGCTGTGGATGTCCCTTCCCTGGAAGAGCTTGAGGGCAGGCTGGATGGGGCTTTGGGCAACCTGGTCTAGTGGGAGGCGTCTCTGCCTGTGGTGGGGGAAGGTATTGGATGACCTGTAAGGTCCCTTCCAAACCAATCTGTTCTGTGATCTCTACTCCAACTCCTGCTGAGTGACAGGGAGGATTTAAGGTAACACAGGGAACCACCTGGCCATTCACCTTGTGCACCCTGCAGTCCATCAGCAAGATAATGCTGACTCCTTGTGAGCCAGCAGATTAAAAATACAGGTAAGAGAAATAAAAGGAGGTTGACCCTACTGTGAAATAGTTTGAGAGAGAAAGTTCTGGAGACCCTTCTGGAAATGAGGCTTGGGAAATTTATTCAGTTCTCAGAGTTGAGGATACTGAAATGTTTGCCAGGAGATGGTAGGAAGAGTAATTTTTTTAGATCTAGGCTTTCTACAAAGCCTACAGTTTTTCCGATTGTGAAATAGCCTAATCCTCTTCCCTTCTTTAATTTTGTGATATGTTTTTTTTCTGTGTGGAACTAGACTCTTATCTCTTCTACTCATTTATCTTTCAGAATTACACTATTGCACTGGAGCATACAGAATTTCACCAGTAGATGTAAATAGCAGACCTTCGTCATGCCTTACTAACTTTCTCCTTAACGGTAAAGATGTGTCTTTGACTAATTACTTTCAAGTTGTGATTGTTAATATTGTAAGTAGAGCTCTGCGATGGCTTCACACTGGTAGGTAGTTCAGCTCCACCATGATGTTCTCTCACTCCCCCTCAACAAAACGGGTGGAAAATGAGAAAAGACTCTGGAGTTGTGGAATGATCTTCCTTGTCCTTATCTCAATTTCTATCATGGACAAAACAGACTCAGTATAGGGATATAGATGTAAATTATTGCCTATTGCTAATGTACTAGAGCAGTGAGAACTAAAAGCAAAGTAAAAACACCTTGACCCCCACCCACCTTTTACCTCCTCCCCCTGAGCAGTGCAGGGAGTGTGGGGGTTGCAGTCAGTCCATAACTCTTTGTCACTGATTTGTCACTGTCCTTCATGGTCACTTTCTTCCCTTGCTTCAGTGCGGAGAATTGATTGTATGTGAGCTTTCCACAGGCAGCAGCTCTTCAAGAACTGCTCCAACATGGCTCCATACCACAGGGACCATCCCCCAGGAGTAAACTGCTCCAGCACGGGCCCTCCACGAGTGGCAGCTGCCCCCAGACCCTCTGCTCCTGCATGGGCTCCTCTCCACAGGCTGCAGCTCCAGCCTGAGGCCTACTTCTGTGGGGGCTCTCCATGGGCTGCAGCCTCCTCCAGGCCACATCCACCTGCTCCACCGGGGGCTCCTCCACCCATGGGGGGGCTGCAGTGTGGAAATCTGCTCCATGTGGGACCCATGGGCTGCAGGGGAACAGCCTGCTCCACCAGGGGCCTCTCCACAGGCCGCAGGGAACTTCTGCTCGATGACTGGAGCACCTGTTCTCTTTCCTTCAGTAACTTCATATCTACAAAATTCTCTCCCATTTTTTCCACTCCTGTCACCTAGTGTCACTGGCTCAGCTCTGGCCAGCAATGGGTCCTTTTTGGAGCCAGCTGGAGCTGGCTCTGATCTGATCTTCTGGGCTCTGCTCACAAAGGCCACGCCTGCAGCCACCCACTACCAAAACCTTGCCATATAAGAAATAAGTGTTATACAAGCACTGACCATGTTTCAGTTTGCATAGGGGAGTGTATTGTAGAAATGCCAAGTCTATTACTGTGTCATATAGAAATAAAAGTTGTTAAATGTACTTGAAGGAAAATTGAATGTGGTTTGTAGACTGGAATTGAGAAGAAAGAGAAAGAGCAAATAGTGAATTCTGGTAGTTCTTTACCAAATCTAAATGTAGAATACTTTTCATTTTAGCCAATTTAGTAGAAGCATCTATTTCAGTACGTGACGGTACGCTTGATCAAAATGCTAGTGGTATGTAGTCGACATTCATTGCATGTGGTTTTTTTTTTTATAGTTAGCAAAAGAGTTGCATTATAAACATCCACCTAATGGGAGTTTTCTTTCATTTGAAGTTATTCTTTATTTATTTTTCTCCTAAAGATTCCATTTTGGAAGAGTATTCTGATTTCTAAAAATGTTTAGAACTAAAACTAGTAGCATACTTCAAATAAACCACTCCCTTCTGATCTTCTGATTTTGTTTCCTCATAACAAGCAACTTGGAGATTGAACCTCTTTGCTATTTGTTTTATCGGAAATAAGTCAAAGCTTGTTTTATTTGTGTGTGTCTGAAAAGTGGTATTGAAAAAAACTTTGATATCTTTATAATGAAATGAGTTAAGTTTATTGATTTTCATAATTGCTTGTAATGAGTTTCTGCTGCAGGGTGAGATAATGGTTTAGTATACAGCATCATCTTTGATTAAAAATAATACACCACTCATACATGATACACCATTTTAATGCCGTAAGACATTCATAGAAAAAATATTTGGCCCAGACAACAATAGGATATTCACAGTAGGGAGGCCTTTCAATTGTTCTGTGTAAAAATTTAAGAGCATTTGACACTATCTTCTGTCTAAGGATATACAGTACTTGAAGCAGTTGCTCATTCATCTAGGTGAAAGCACAGCTTTAATGGTTCAGTCTTAGTGGCTAGGTAAAAACCTCTACTGCTCTACTGTGCATATATAATTTTTAATGTAAAATTGCAGCATGTCGCAACTGATGAAACTGATCTCACTTCCAACAGGTCGTTCTGTTTTGTTGGAACAACCACGCAAGTCTGGCTCTAAAGTAATTAGTCACATGCTTAGTAGCCATGGAGGAGAAATTTTTCTGCATGTATTAAGCAGCTCGCGATCAATTCTAGAAGATCCCCCATCAATTAGTGAAGGTTGTGGAGGAAGAGTCACGGACTACCGAATTACAGTAAGATTCCTTTTCCCTTTAAGTTTTTTACTTAAACAACAAGTGATCTTGTGCAATAGATAACTGTATATGAAATGTTGGTGTGTTTTCTGGAAGGCCAGGCTGATATGTGTGACGTTGCGGTCAAACCAATCTCCGTTGTATACACTGATGCATATTTATTACGTAGTAGTAAGACTGCTTACTGTTATGCCTGTTTTATAGAATCCTCTCTATGTTGAGGAAACACTTGTTGCCTTATACACTATCATCATCTAAAGCTCATTCTGATTCTGGAACAATGTTTTCTTGGCAAGGCTTTTGTGTCGGCTGGCTGGGTGTTTGTAAGACTATATCCTGCTCATTGTTCAGAGGCTAGATTGCACATGAATAAATAGGAAAGATCGAGTTTTCAGCTTTGAACCCTGTGTATGGAACAGGCAGTTCCTGTATGGAACTCCAGTATGGAGCTGGCATTTTCTTTAAAATTTCCTTTGCATCTGGTATGTAAGCAGAAATGACTTCCAGAAAAATGCAGTAAAACTTTTTACCATATGTGAAACGCCTTGCAAACCCAAAAGACCTCTTCATGAAAAACTCTGCATTAGTTTTAAACCTATATTTTTATATAACTGTTCTTGTGTTCACTCCAAAGAACATCATATGTGTTTGAGAGCTTTTTGTGTTAGCGCCAGATTTAATCGTGGTGGTGTATGCAATTAATGAAAGGCAAGACTATGCTTTTTCACCCGTTCAGTGAAAAATACTTTGTTAGAGAAATTCCTAATTTTATCTTGTTTGGTTATCATTAGGATTTTGGTGAATTTATGAGGGAAAACCGATTAACTCCTTTTCTAGAGCCCAGATATAAGATCGATGGAAGTCTTGAAATTCCATTGGAACGTGCAAAAGATCAGTTAGAGAAACATACTCGTTACTGGCCTATGATTATTTCTCAGACTACCATCTTCAACATGCAAGCTGTAAGTAACCTTGGGTTTGTAAACTTCTATTCTGATCTAGACTGTTTCAGCTTGCTACATGATGAAATACTGACTAACGTACAATGAATCATTTGCCAGAAGAGGGTTTATATTAAGCTTCGTTTTCACTTAAGTATTCTGTATTTAGTGTCAATATGTTATTGCCATGTAATCTAAATAGGGTGGAATATTTTAAACTGGTTTAGCTATAGAGCTGCTGGGTTACAATGGGTAAAGACAGCATGCCTCTGCATATACCTTTGAGAGTTATTACTAAATTTGGGGTAGGCGACTTTGTTGTATGTTGTTCCATCGTTACACACTTCAGTTTTTCTACTTTCTTTCTTTTCTTCTTTCTTCTGTTTCTTTCCTGCAACACACAAGACTTTCCCATTCTTGACTTTTGTTTTGTATTCCAGGTAGTGCCATTAGCCAGTGTGATTGTAAAAGAAGCAATGACAGATGAGGATGTTCTGAATTGTCAAAAAACAATATATAATTTGGTAGATATGGAGAGGAAAAATGATCCACTGCCAATTTCAACAGTTGGTACCAGAGGAAAGGGTCCAAAAAGGTTAAATACATAGCTTTTCATTGTTGGATGTTTCTTAGAAGTATTCCGTTTACATTGTTGTCATGCATGTTTTTAAATAGTGGCCAAAGATAATATGGAGTATACTAAATGATGTACATATGCAAAACAAATTCTGTGAACACTTTGCTTGCACTACTTAGGGGCTATCACAGTGAGCGTGCCCTATGTTAGGAAGCAGAAGTTATTAACAAAAAATTGTATGTTAAATGTGAAAACAAAAATGACTATTAAGAAAGGTGAGAGACTGACACAAGCTAGGAGAGAGAAAGTGGAATAATGCCAAACGACTAAGAAGTGAAATTTAAGCTGAATGACCAAAATAAATGACCAATGGTATAAAATTGGGTTATTAAAATAGTCAAATAATTTTGAAACAGTTACTTAAAATATGGGATGTTTCTTTCAAATGAGCATAGAACATCCATATATCTGTTCTTCCAAAGAAAGCATTACATGTACATTGTATTTCCAAAAAGGAAAATAATCTGCAGATGATGTCCAGGTGTCTAGAAGCTATTTCTAGCCATCCAATGCAATTCCAATTATTTGCATAAAAAAAAAAATTGCATGTCAGTACCTGAGTGGTCCTTTGTGTATCCTAACAGTGCGTAATATGCCAATTGTCAAACAATTGACAGGATTCAGAAATGCCTTTTGGCAGTGAGATCTCATGGATATTAAGAATTAGATGCATGTGGAAGTATATGTTTCAACTGAAACTTAACTCTTTGGATGTTAATTGAGAAAGGTCACGTGATGTGTTTTCATAAGTTTGAAGGACAGTAATCCAAGGTGCATAGATGTGCAATACAAGAGAAGGAGCAAAAGCTCAAGGACTAATTTATATATATAAATTAAGTCTAAAACCATAATCTTATCTATTTAATAGATTAATGATCTAGACCATTCTATGTGATACTTCTTTTTCCTGCCCTTGCTTAGAGATGAACAGTACCGGATTATGTGGAATGAATTGGAAACCCTTGTTCGAGCACACATCAACAACTCTGATAAACACCAGCGTGTCTTAGAATGTTTGGTGGCTTGCAGAAGCAAACCTCCAGAAGAAGAAGAACGCAAGAAACGAGGCAGAAAGAGAGAAGAAAAAGAAGACAAGTCAGAGAAGTCAGGAAAAGACTATGAACAAGATAAGCCATGGCAAGAATCAGAAAGGTATATTTTCTTAAGTAATATGAAAACATAACATAATATTTTTTTTTGCCCTGTTCCTCATCAGAAAGGGAAAAGAATTGCTGTGAAACGGGGTTTCAATTTAACTTGTTCATGCTCTTAACCTTGGTTTGCTACCAGTAATTGTGGATCCCAAGGTTGTTTTTTTTTTTTTTTTTTTTGGATCAGTCACCATTAACAAGCTGGAAAAACATTTATATTACAGTGTCTGCTTATCAGACTTGTTCAAGAACCATACTGCTTGTGGAATATTTTTATTTGAAAAAGTTGCTGACCACTGAGCAGGGCTTTGCAGTTAGGATAGTCACTGTAGGATTGTATTGTAACCATGACGCCCATTATACAACAGAAATATAAAACAACTGAAAGATGTGGCGAGACAGTTGATTTCCTTTGAACTATAGAAAGCTTGGTGCTCAGGTAGTTAAACAATCCAGATTGTTTGGCTGGTCTGTTTAGCTGAACATCAGGGTTTACTGCCCTTGCATCTACTGTCTGTAAATCGTGTTAATTATTCTAACTTGTATAACAAGCAAGCATCTGTTTTCCCTGTTTCAAAACACTGTTCTAAAGCAGTCCTAATAACCTCATGTTAGTAAGCTTTTTGCATATATAGTTTTGTGTGTTCTAGGATCTTTTAGGAGGACAGACAATTTCCCCTATGTTATTGTCAGCGTACTGATGACCTTCATACCTTTCTGCATATGATCAAATCCATTTCTACAATTTCTTTTTGTTTGGCAGATGAATCAAAGCAGGGCCTGAGGTGAAAGCAATTTGATATCAAATATAAATTTGGATCACATTAAGAAAAAGTAATTGTGTGGTGTTTGGTATATTCACTATTAGTTGATGATTTTGACTGAAAAGACTATCTCAACAAGTACAGTATAAATACTTTTAACTAACTTAAGTGAAATTATATTAAGATCTTCCTCTTTTTTTTTTATAAGGCTTTATCCAGAGGATTATTTTGCTAGATTTCCATGGTTTTTTTTTTTTTTTTTTTTTTTTTTTACCTATCACAGGGGATCGAAAGAAACTTTCTCATGATGTGGGTTGTGGGTAACTTTGAAGAGTACGGGAAGGTGCCAGGAATAATATGTGCTGCTCTACCATATCTTGCTTCACTGTTTTCCTTCCCTGTCAAAAAGGTTAAAAGGTCTTTTGGATCGTGAAAAAGAAGAATTAGCAGAAGCTGAAGTTATAAAAGATTCCCCTGATTCTCCTGAGCCACCCAACAAAAAGCCTCTAATAACAATGGATGAAATGCCTGTAGTAGAAAAGGCAAAAGGTAAAAAGGAAGGATTACAATAGATTTCCTTGTTTGAAAATTTAAGTTCATATATCAGTCTATTTTTCTAAAGTAATGAGGTGAATCTTCTTGGAGTTGAATGAACGAGGAGAATTCTTAGTTAAATACTCAATGCTGAGAAACTCTTGATAAATACATATGTTAACCTTAACAGGCTTATGTTGAAAGGCACTTAGATATATTGCATGGCTCTAAAAAGAGGCATTTGGGTTGACAAGGGGGTTGGACAAATTTCTGCTGGTGCTACTTTGAGGTACTCTGTCAGAAATAGTATTTAAGGACAGTTATCAAAAACAACTCTTTCTGACTAATGAATATAAACATGCCTAAGATGTCTAGTTGTTGAAAGGGGCAGTTCTCACTGGCTTTCTTGCTGAGCTGCCGTAACTTGCTATCTGTCATAACAGCTGAGCTGATATTAAGATTCTACTTGTGATGCAAATTAAATCTATAAATCAGTACTTCAGCTGCTGTAACTCTGCATATATTGTATTTATTTAGTATGTATTATGAGGATGTTTAATATTAATGTTTTTAATATGCTGCGCTACCAAAGTCTGTAACTTCCTCTAAAAATTTATAATGATGTTTTAAGAATTCAGAAATAAAATCACTTCAGTGAAATCAGTAATTAAATAACTTTAACTGTTTTTACATGCAATTTTAGGGCCAATGTCCTTGCTGTCTTTATGGAGCAACAGGATTAATACTGCCAACTCTAGGAAGCACCAGGAATTTATTGGTCGTTTGAACTCTGTCAACAATAAAGCTGAACTATATCAACATCTGAAAGAAGAAAATGGGTTTGTATTAGTAAATTCATCACTACAAATATTTTAGTAGTAGTCAAAGGTCAGTATGGAGGAACAAATCAGCTACAGGGTTAAGAAGACTGCTTATACTCTTGAGGATTAAAATGTGGAGATATATTCCTTTGTCTCAGTATTGACAGGTAGCAATTAAAAACAGTGTTTGCTTTTTAATTGCGTGGCCTGCTCTCATTGGCCTGTTTCTGTGCTGAGCAAGGTTGAATGCCTTACTGATCATCCTAGCAGTGAAATTCTTAAACTTTCAGGGGTTAAATAGTAGCTAAGGTCAAATTTCTTTTATGTCAGTCTGATGCTTGCTTTAGCTTGTGAAGCAATATCAAATCTAAAAATATTGTAGGTAATGAAACGGCTGATGTCATGCTGTAACGAAATTGATAAGTTGTTCATGTTATAACAAAAATACTCAAACCAAACTGTTAAGTAAATAAAATGGTGAGAGTCAATGACTACTTGAAAGAAGGGTGAAAATGAAAATCTTGAAACTACTAAAGCTAAGATTTTAGAAATAATTTATCTGCAGTCACGTGAACATGGGCTTTTGTCTTGTGGTGAGGTTGATAACGAATAGACAGTTGTGGTTGTTGCTGGAAAGCTTCACAGAAACCTTTCCTTTGTGTACTGACTGCTGCTTAAAGTATTAAAAGAAACATCTGTATGTGTGGTGGTAGGGAAAGAAGGGATGGTTACTGAAGTAAAAATATATATATATATACACACACACACATACATGTGTGTGTATATATATAAATATATATGTGTGTATACGTGTGTGTGTATATATATATGTATATATATATATACATATATATATATATATACACACACTCATTTTTAAAGAAGTTATGTCCTTGATTTTTTTCTTTATTTGTTTATTCTATTTCTAGTAATGATCCTTACCAACTATCTTGTTCATCTGTTTCAGGTTGGAAACGACAGAAAATGGAAAAGCAGGCCGGCAGTGATGATTGTTTCTTTGAACAGATTTTAGTGAAATCGAGGAAAAAAATGAAGTTGGAATTGATATTGGTACCATTTCAGTACAACTTTTTAGTTGTTTTGATTCTTTTTCACATTTTTCTATTTTTTCTATGAACTCTAAAATCAACATATCATACTTACTGAATGGTGTGCAAATAGCGTCTCTTAAACTATTGTACAGTCAGCTTTTTTAGTATGAAGAAAGCCTCTGTTGCCGTGGACTAAATGAAATCATCAGATATGTTGATCTGAATTTGAAGTCCTTTCCCATAAGTATTTTCATACTTCAAAATCAGTGGTGACTGACTGTTCAAAGAACTTCAGTTTCAATCGATAGTTAACTGATAATATATTTCAGATTATAATACTTTCATTTATAGGAAACTTCTCAGGCATCCAGAATTATGGAGAAGACCGCACACTGAATACCTAGTCACTGAGCTGAGAATGTGTCAGTCTTAGTTTTCATGTAAGGGGGTTGGGGGGATGAGTGGTTTTAAAGACAGAGTGTTGGCTTAAGGGCTTTTTAAAATTTGTTAGAAATGATCTTTAGAAAGCAAAGCATTTTGGATTGTTATGCTGGAATTGAGTCTTTGTTTTTAAAACAAAATAAAAATAAAACTTTTGCTAACAAATAATTTTTTTGATGAAATATACACTCTAAACCAACTGTGGCTTTGGGTCTAAGCTTTGTGAACATAAAAGGGAGACTTATTCTGAATACCTGAATATGACTATTAAATGACAACGTAGATGATAAGTCTTCAATTTTTTAAATTTTTTTAACAGAATTCTCAAACTGGAATACTGTTGCTATCTGTGGGTAATGTAATCCATTTTAAGGTTTTGGGTTGGCTTCTAAATCGGTCAACTTGAGGAAGCTGAGGAAAAATGCTCTCCAAGAGCAGTGAAGGAAGCTCTGGGATACAAAATAAAACCCAGTTCAGAAACTGGGTCTTAGATTCGGTACATTTTCACTTGAGTTCAGTAGAGTTCTATCAGTCTTCTGGTCTGTTTCTGTGGCCTTATTCTAGTCTGTATAAGCAACTGCGGTCCCACAGCTTTATATTAGCTTATATTGATAGAAGATACATCTGTGAACTTTTCTAAAACTAAATTGATATGTTCATATTTTTCATCTAAAATTTTAAATACTATAGTTCACAATGACAGAACAAATGTTATGCAAGTATTATTGGTTTGCATTGTAATAGGGTCCTTTCTTCATCTGTGTTTATACATATGCTGTGTACAGTTTCAAGGTGATTATTGAGCTATTGTGAAACAGACAGCAAATGTGATTTCTGAGACCTTTATTTTTACTTATTTGAAAATAAGTTGCATCTCCGCATCTAGTGACATATCTGAAATGTTCTGATGGAAAACATTACCATGGAATTTATTCTTGTATCTTAAGATTCTGGGCTCAGGTAGGTGGTGGTCTTAGTTTTTTGTTTTATTTTTTTGAAGTGATGTTTTAGTGCATTTCAGTATGGATTTTACTGTTGTTTACTAAAGCAGTTTTAAAGTCTGGAACCTTGGGAACATTGTAAATGTCAGCTTTCAGATGTAAACCCTGGCACTGTCATGTTTGAAAACTATCTGCTCTCCATCCAAAAAAGAAACACTTCTGTATGTGTAGTTAAATAATCACAGTTCATCTGCTCACATGTGTATATATTGTAACTAGAGGTGGATTAGGTACTTCGATGTAGTTTAATCTCCTCAAATATTTTGGTCCTGTAGCTCTTCATGCATTTGTGGCTAGTGAGCTGTTCAAATTCTCTTTCTATGCCATGATTACTTGTCGAGCTATACTGTTGGGTTTGTTGGGTGGTGAATGGCTTAGTTTTAGAGAAGAGGCCAAAGTGAGCAGAGGGCTGTGTTGGTATGCCATGCTGGCATCATGTTTGCAAACATTAATCTATGTGGTAACATGAAAGTGTAGACCAGGGAGGAGCTGTTCTCATCTCCCAGCTGTGGATCACAGCATCATCTGGGTTGGAAGAGACCTCCAAGATCACCTAGTCCAACCTCTGACAACACTAACAAGTCCTCCACTAAACCATACGACTGAGCTCTACATCTAAATGTCTTTTAAAGACCTCCAGGGATGGTGACTCAACCACTTCCCTGGGCAGCCCACTCCAATGCCTCACAACCCTCTCAGTAAAGAAGTTCTTCCTAATATCCAACCTAAACCTCCCCTGGCACAACTTTAGCCCATTCCCCCTCACACTGTTGCCAGGCACATGGGAGAATAGACCTACAGCCTCCTTTAAGGTACCTGTAGAGTGCAATAAGGTCGCCCCTGAGCCTCCTTTTTCTCCAGGCTGAACAACCCCAGCTCACTCAGCCGCTCCTCATAAGACTCCAGACCCCTCACCAGCTTGGTTGCCCTTCTCTGGACTCATTCGAGCATCTCGATGTCCTTCTTGTAGTGAGGGGCCCAAAACTGAACACAGTACTCAAGGTGCGGCCTCACCAGAGCTGAGTACAGGGGGACAATCACTTCCCTAGCCCTGCTGGCCACCCTGCTTCTTATACAAGCCAGGATGCTGTTGGCCTTCTTGGCCACCTGAGCACACTGCTGGCTCATATTCAGCCAACTATCAACCAGTACTCCCAGGTCCTTCTCTGCCAGGCAGCTTTCTAACCACTCATCTCCCAGCCTGTAGCTCTGCTTGGGGTTGTGCCTCATGTGCAGGACCCAGCACTTGGCCTTGTTGTACCTCATACAGTTGGCCTCAGCCCATCGGTGCAGCCTATCCAGATCCTCCTGCAGAGCCTTCGTGCCCTCAAGCAGATTGACACACGCACCTAACTTGGTGCTGTCTGCGAACTTACTGAGGGTGCACTCAATCCCCTCATCCAGATCATCAATGAAGATATTAAAGAGGACTGGCCCCAGTACTGAGCCCTGGGGATGCCACTAGTGACCAGCCTCCAGCTGGATTTGATTCCACCACGACTCTTTGGGCCCGGCTATCCAGCCAGTTTTTAACCCAATGAAGCATATGTCAGTCCAAGCAGTGAGCAGCCAGTTTCTTGAGGAGAATGTTGTGGGAAACAGTGTCAAAAGCCTTACTGAAGTCAAGGTAGACCACATCCACAGCCTTTCCCTCAGAGGGACATTAGATTGGTCCCAGATCTAGCCTTGGGCTGGCTGTCATAGGCAGAGTAGTCAGCAGCCTGCTGCCAGACCAGGTCCAGTTCTGCTGTTTGCTTACAGCAGGAGTGTGCATTTGTGTCCATTCTCTTTAGCTTGTGCAAGCTATCCTTTGGCTAACTAGCTGCTCTTCAGTGTCTCCTCACTCCTAGAGCACTGCCTGTGGTTCTTGGGCTGCCCTGTACACCGAGCAGCTTCTATATGTGCTGTTCAGCCAGAGTTCAGCACAACAACGGGTTGCTGCTGGACGATGTGTCAGCAAGTGCACACTGCGGTAGGATAGTTATTCTATGGCCTCCTGCTCCTAAGCAGTTTGGTTTCTTTGTGGGCAGCCTCTGTGAGCATGCAAGACTATCTGTGGGCATGCACTTCAGAACCTGCAGCAGTTTTAGGGGAGCTAAATGTCTGTAATGTCCAAGACAAGCTTATAGTTCATGTTTCAGCTTCCCAGCTAAGGGAACTATGTGACTTGTGTCATAGGGAAGCCAGATGCAGTGTTAACTGAGGAATTTGGGAACCTAATGCAGAATAAAAATAAATCTAGGTGACAGCATAAATGTGCCTTTTGAAACATTTACCCTCTTGTTGACTTTGCCTATGGGTATCAAAATGTGTTCTGAGAATGAAAGGGACAGGCACCTGTGTATGTGTCATTTCATGATTGCCTGAAAAAGCAAAGTTGAAATCATACCATCTTCAGAGTTGTAAGGTCAGTGATCTGGTGAGCTGTGGCCATCCACCCTCATCAGTAAAATCTTGTGGCAGATCTGGAAAGGGCATTCTGTATATAACTCCTTTCCTTTCTACACAGTGATACTTTGAAAGCACAGTGTGAAATAGGATCAAATTCAAGAAAGATTTTTGCAGGTCTAAAGCAGCTTATATACATTAACAATGGAACTCAGAGATTAAACTCTGTACAAACTAATCTGTTAAACCGAAAGATTTCCAAAATCTCAGCAGTTTTTACAAATTCTTTTACATGTTTTTTTTCACCATCATCCTTCAACTGTGTCACAGATGGAAGCAGCGTAGAGAGCCGCCCTTACTGAAGGATACAAGCCTGCAACTTGAGAAATGTAATTTTAAAAGTACATTACACAATTGCCTAATGGGAAGAAAAGAGTTTTGTGTTAGGGAGTTACTGTTCCCTTTATACGTACTATATACAATGTATTGAATTAAACTCTTAACCAAAAAAAAAAAAGGTTTGAAAAGATTAAGGACAGTCCCACCAGTTCTTGCTGTCACTTAGAAGATGTTATCTTAAATCTGTGGATATTGTGGGTAGTCATTGTGGATATCATGGGTAGTCATACTCTTTTGATAAGGGGGTGGGAGTTGGTATTTTGGTGGCTGGGAAGATGCTGTGATGTGGGACAGTCTCGCTGATCTAGAATACTGCTCTTGAGAAGTGAGTGCTACCAAAGGCGGTTTCCATAATGGAGGTATGGGTGAACCCCGACACTCATGTACAGCTGCTTTGCGAGGCTGTAGGTCATCCATCGCCACATCAGCATGGCTTAGCTGGGAATTGCTCAGAAACATAGACTTTGATCCAGGAATCTTCCTGTGATACTTGCAAGAACAGTAAACTAGTGTGATCAGAACCAGTCTAACAGTAACACAAAGGCTGCTTAGTAAGGCAGATGGGGACTTTCCAGTCATGGAGTCATCCCAGTCTTGAAGTGAAGGCTGTACAGTGCTGTTGAAAGACCCATTGAATAGCTCTGTAGCAGGAAAGCAGACTTCACTATATGAAACATTGAAGATGACATCAATTTTGTATTCAGGTAACATTGCTTGGACAAAGTGCAGGTTGACGTATCCATCTGGCACTCTTAGTTTCCTCAGTGCTTCCTGGATTTCCTCTTTTGCACACCAGCTGGAAGGTCTGTTGGTGCTTGTACACAATGAACTGTTATACCATGAGATTACTGTGGACCCAGGTTTGAGAGAGGTCACTGTGATGTCTTTGGGATTGCTGGAGTTCAAATACAGGGAGAGCTTCTCTAGAAATAAACTAATCCTTTTTCTCTCTTTCAGGAAGGAGTAGTAGCTGTTTTTTGATCTGATGGTGTAAGGGTGGCATGGTACCCTCTTGGGCTTCAGAAGCTCGATGGTGAAGGATTGCCAGGCAATCAGTCCCCCTGAATCTGTGGCAGACAGCACGAACTCTTGAGGTGAATACTGGAAATCAATTTCAAGGGGATAGCCATGCATAATCTGCTGAGATGCATTAAATTGCAGCCAGCTTTCTGATCCCAATGGAGAGCCATCAGCTGGGATTAACTTTAGAGATAACTGAGTTGAATTGCCATCTTCCTCATCATGAAATGTGTTGGCAGATATAGGAAAAGAGAAAAGGCATCCAATAGTTGCTGTTATGAATTGAATTGAATGAACAACCTTTGGGGAAGTGTTTGCTTGCCCTTTAGAGAGGGGTCGGGGAAAGGAAGGAAAGGGAGAGAGTTATGAGGCAAAATAGCTATCTGATACTGAATAATAGCAAAGAAATGTCAGCCTCAAAGGGTTATGAAGCATGTTTGTGAGAAGAGACCCCCTGGAGGTAATCCAGGCAACCTCCCACT